TTTATGAGCCGAGCGCAGTGGCTCATGCCTGTAATCCCAGCACTTTGGGAGGCCAAGGCGGGCAGATCACCTGAGGTCGGGAGTTCGAGACCAGTCTGACAACATGGAGAAACCCCGTCTCTACTAAAAATACAAAATTAGGTGGACATGGTGGCACGTGCCTGTAATCCAAGTTACTCAGGAGGCTGAGGCAGGAGAATCGCTTGACCCCAGCAGGTAGAGGTTGCGGTGAGCTGAGATCGTGCCACTAATCTCTAGCCTGGGCCAAAAGAGCAAAACTCTATCTCAAAATAAATAAATAAATTTATGTATATAGATATATATGAGATATGTATAGATCTCATATATATTTCATATATGATATATATCATATACATATATTTATAGTTTTGACCTTTATTTTGTCCCATTCATATTTTGGAATTGCTTTTACAAAGTTTTTTATGTCTTATAAACAATGTAAAACATTTGTTTTTATTTTTATTTATGTTTTCTTGAGACAGGGACTCGCTCTGTTGCCCAGGCTAGACTACAGAGGTGTGATCATGGCTTATTGCAGTCCCCACCTCCTGGGCTCAAGTAATCCTCCCACCTCAGCCTCCTGAGTAGCTGGGACTATAGGCACTTGCCACCAGGCCAGGTTAATTTGTTGTATTTTTTGAAGAGATGGAGTTTCATAATGTTGTCCACACCAGTTGGAATAAACCCATTTTAAACTTAAATATGGCATATTGTGGTGGTAAAACAGGACTTCACTAAATTTGCTGGAATAAATCTAATGCATTCACTGATTTGCTTGTCAAGTATTAGATACTAGAAAGATTTAACTGGTTTCAGAGGATTAATGGTCTTATATTTTATTACTCTTCATATAACACTATTTGAAATTCAGAAGATTATATCTTTCAGTAGCACAAATTCCTTTTTTATTTTTTTGGTTTGTTTGATATAGGGTTTGGCTCTGTCACCCAGGTTGGAGTGCAGTGGCATGATCGTGGCTCATTGCAGCCTTGACCTCCTGGGCCCAAGCAATCCTCCCACCTTAGCCTTCCAAGTAGCCGGGACTATAAGCACGCACCACTATGCCCAGTACATCTTTGTATTTTTTTGTAGGGACAGGGTTTTGCCACATTGTCCAGGCTGATCTTGAATTCTCAGGCTCAAGCGATCCTCCTACCTCAGCCTCCCAAAATGTTGGCATTATAGGTGTGAACCATCACACCCAGCCTTACAAATTCTTCATTGCAGTCACTTCCTGATCACCCTTACTAAAAGAAGAGATCATTGGTGCGAAAGAAAAGCAACTGATATTTGAAATTTATTAGTTTACAGGGCAAGTTCAACTATGAATTACAGACTTTTGTTGTTTGTTCAGGGTGTCTTTGGGACATTTAATGAATCTATATTCCGTGAGTACAAGGAAAGGACATGCAGGATAATGGTGGTGGCAGGAAAAAAAAAAAAAGCTGAAGTATTTATTCAGTATGGTTAACCTGCCAAATAACCAAATAGAGATGGGCCGAACATTTGCTCCTGTAAAGTATTTAAGTAATAAAATTAAATTTAATTTAGATGAAAATTTAAGATAAAGAAATATTTCATATCTGAAAAACAGAGAGTTCTTGCATACTTGTGCAATTCTTTTTCTTGCCGTTGCAGTTCTGATGATAGCAAAACATTTTCCCTTTTTAGAGAATGGCATTCAGTTTCCAATGCATTCCATTCCTTTCTCAACTTCTCTAGTTCACCTAAAATAGTCCCAAAACATATTTGTTAATATAGAAATACAACTTCTATAATATTTCAAAGGATAAAGGAAAAGATTTCAGAGAAGAACATACTTTTTTGCCCCCTTAAAAGCACGTAGATTTTACATGGTTAATTATTTGATTTCTGTTGCTTTGCATGTATACCTCAAGGACAGCTATCAGCTCGTACTTGAACAACAGTATTTTTTTCCACTTAACTTTTATAAGACAAGCAATTTTTAACAATTTTAAAATAAAATATAAAACCATAAAAAAAAATAAGTTTAAGTAGACTTGCAGACCGGAAAATACATTTTTAGCTCTGATTTAAAAACACTGGTTTATACAACTGATAGCTAACAAAGAAAAAAAAAAACCCTGCATTTTTTTTTAAAAACAAGTTACAAAGTTATCATTGTCAAAAGTTAAGAGCTTTACGTAAAATACATTTACTCACCTTGCAACCTTGTTGCTTCCTCTCTCTGCTGGTCCTCACACTGTTGACATCTAAGCTGAAAACTGTTTTGCAGACTTGTGATTTCTTTCTCATATTCAGACGCTGCTTTCCGCCACCGCTCAAGCTCAGCTCTCACCTTCTTAAGCTCTTGTTGTAAAGAAGCAATGTCAGTGTCCCGCTCAGAGGCAGCCTTTTCTGCTGCTTGATGAAGGAGCAAAATTTCATCTCGGGCACTAAGCAATTCATCTCTAGTACTTGTGATTTCACTGTCCTTCTCCTCCCGGAGATTCTCAATATCGATGTGTAACCTCTGCAACTGGGCTGCAAAAGTATATCCATCATTTTCTTGGCCCATTAGGATTAGGAATAAAAGAATAATCCATACAGGATTGTACCTAATGCATAGCCTGGGTTATCAGAGCTGCTGCTTTTGATTAAAGTGTATAAACAATCCACGTTTGATGCAGAAAGTGTCAAAATACAGATAGCAAAGAGGAAAAAAAACCAAAGTGATCTTTATCTCCCCAACACACAGAAAATTACTTCTGACATTCCTTCTAGATTTTTTCCTATGCATTTATACACATATATAAACAAACATTAAACAGGGAGTGATCAAAATATATTCAGTGTTGCCTATTCTTCTGTTGATGAAACTCTTTCAACACAAAATAGTTATAGTATATGTAACTTACTTGCCCAACCTTTTATTTTTGACATTTTGGCTGTTCAGTGTTTAAACACTATATACTTATTTTTATTTTTATTTTTTTTAGGGTGAATCCTATGTGTAGAATAGATTGGTCAAATGGTAAGCAATAAACAGTTGATGCTCTTGATTCATTTTTCTGTTCAAATGTCAATTCTTTAAAGAGGCCTTTTCTGATGACTCATCTGAAAAACAGCTCACTGTCATTCTCTGGCTCTTTACTCTGATTTATTTTCCTTTGAAGTCCTTATTGGACATCATAGTCTCTATTAATTTGCTTATTGTTTAACTTTTCTACTGAACTGTATACCTCATGCAGGGCATTTGTTTTGCTCACAGCTATAAACAATCAAGAATTATTGGTTGAATTAATGAGTTAATAAAATTAATACTGCCTCACTGAAGGGTTATACATATATTTAAAATACCTGGTTTTGTGCTCATGACCCAAACTGGAAACCATTTGTATAAAATCAAACTTGGCGCAGAACAAGAAAATTAATCTTGGTTACCATATTATAAGGAAATTATAGATTTAAAAAGTTCCAAAGGAAAACAATTAATTATAAGAGGATTTAGGGGTGGGAGAAAGGGAGGTTGCTACGTAAGTAAACATTAAGATATTAGACTTTCTAAATTTGTAGGAAGAATTGAGAGGTAACAAGTTTGGAATCTGAAAGGGCACAGTGGCCAGAGAAGATGATCATGATTTGTTGATACAGTCGTGAAATACACATGCTGGCACTAGGGGGCACTCAATGATGCCTGGGCAAGACAGGTTTAAAACAAAAGGCAGCACTATGTCACAGAACCTTTAGGAAAAATTGCCCCTACACAGTCTAGGATGAAAATAGAGAATCAAATCAGATTTATGTAAATTAATGGATAATAACATTAAACTACAATAGGAGTTTTAAGAGCTTTCAATTTAAAAACATACATGACATACCCTAGAAATTCTAATTTGACCAAAATAAAATTCTAATTTTATATAACTCAAAAGTTCCACTCAAAAAATAAGACCCCAAAGACTAGTTTTTCTCTGAAATATTTTTGGGCAAATATCTTGGGACTCATACAACGACTCTCCTTTCTCTTCTTAATAGTGATTACTTGTCTATTTAATTTCTTCCCCACCTATCTCTCAAGCTAAAATTTTAAAACAACATTGGCTCCTTCTTTGACAAGAAAGCAAATTAATTTTACTTTTGGAATTTTATAATGGCATGGGAAAGGAAGACCTCTCCTGGGGTATCATACAATCTCCTCATAATATACCAGGAGCTCCAGCTTGAAGTAAACACTTGACAGGCAGGGGTTTTTCTGGAAATTTCTGTAATGACCCTGCAATAGCTCAGACAAAGAAACAGCAAAATGGTGATAAGAAGAACAGCCATTATCAAAGAAAATCAGTGCAGAGACTATTATCCTATTCCATGTGATATATAATTGTTTTTGAGGCCGGGCGTGGTGGCCCATGCCTGTAATCTCAGCACTTTGGGAGGTCGAGGTGGGTGGATCACAAGGTTAGGAGTTTGAGACCAGCCTGGCCAATATGGTGAAACCCCATCTCTACTAAAAATACAAATATTAGCTGGGTGTAGTGGCGTGCACCTGTAGTCCCAGCTGCTCTGGAGGCAGAAGAATCACTTGAACCCAGGAGGCGGAAGTTGCAGTGAGCCGAGATCACACCATTGCACTCCAGCCTGGGCAACAGAGCAAGACTACGTCTCAAAAAACAAACAAACAAAAATTTTCTTGCAATACAAGTGTGTTCTGAGCATCAGATGTCAGTATATCTACACCAGCCATCAATATATACACATACCAGCTAGCTCAAAGTGCTGATGCACAGAGTAGCTCAAACAGATTTCCTATCCAAAGGCCCTCTGTAGGAACTCACAACATAACCCAGAAAATGACAGTCTTACCAACTGCAAATCTTCCCCTCTGCTTTTTCCATTCTAAGTGTCTAATACGGGAGTACTGGACAATCTTCCCTTGAATTTTCTTAATAAATAAATAGGCCAGGCGCAGTGGCTCAAGCCTGTAATCCCAGCACTTTGGGAGGCCGAGATGGGCGGATCACCTGAGGTTGGGAGTTTGAGACCAGTCTGACCAACATGGAGAAACCCCCTCTCTACTAAAAATACAAAATCAGCCAGGCGTGGTGGTGCATGTCTGTAACCCCAGGAGGCTGAGGCAGGAGAACTGCTTGAACCTGGGAGGCGGAGGTTGTGGTGAGCTGAGTTCACGCCATTGCACTCCAGCCTGGGCAACAGGAGCGAAACTGTCTCATAAATAAATAAATAAATAAATAAATAAATAAATAAATAAAGCAAGCTCCATCAAGAGCCGTGTTGAAATGTGAGGTTCTAGAGAATCAAAGCCATGAAAAATGGGGACTCTCGGCCGGGCGCGGTGGCTCAAGCCTGTAATCCCAGCACTTTGGGAGGCCGAGACGGGCGGATCACAAGGTCAGGAGATC